AAATATTACATTGTCAGGATAACTTTAAACGACATATCCCCTATATGCCGATTGACAGTTGATTTCAAATCGAAATGTGATCACATTTACTGTTATAGAGAGCGGAAGATTAGCCGCCAAAGTTCTGTGCTATTTACGACGGTGAACTGAGTACATTACGCCTTAAATCCAGAGCACCGGCATTAAGTGGAAGTGTTACACTTCTTGTAATACTTCTGCGCTTAGTCTGGTGAGTGAGGTAGCCGGGGCCTACTTTATTATAAGGTGGCACCTGCAACGTTACGGGTGTTGCAAATGTCAATATTTTTTAAGACATAAGACATAAGACATTTAATCCGTCACTTAATCTGTTTACAATTATGTTACATTTAGTTACAGATTAAAATTAAAAAAAAAAAAAAACGACAAAATAATGAATAAACAAAAATAACAAAATTAATTTAAAAAAAAATAGTGAAAGTAAAACAAAAATAAATGGTATTTATAAATTTTAAAGTAGTGACGGAACGGACCGCCTCAGCATATGCCGCGCAAGATTGCGGCGGCGCTGATTTTCAGTCGGCCCAGGCGTCCGTAGGCAACGGACGCGTCACAGCAAGCAAGTAGTAATATTTTTCTTTATTACATTAGGTATATAGTGTGTTAAAGTCTATACAAAAAGTAAGCATAATACATATACGTACATTGTATTGATTAATATATATGTTATATATACGAAATATATTTATGTAGTGTAAATTTATAAATACAAAGACATTTATTACAGTTATATATGATATTATAACTCATTTTATTTATTGATTTAGCCTGTACAAATAGGTTAATATTGAATGAGTATTATTTAGTATTATTTAGCAGCTACCCTTCTGTTCGTTTATTAAAAAAAAATTTAGGTTACTTTTAAATTTGCCTAATGTTTCTAGATCACGAATCGGTGGCGGAAGGTTATTCCAACAGTGGGTAGCTGCGTATTTAAAACTTCCTCTGAAAGCTGCCGAACTATGCCTAGGAACACTTGCTTTATAAGAGGAGGCTCGAGTGATATATTTATTGTGTTCCCGACACCATTCTAGTTTGCTATAAAGATATTTAGGTTTTTTGTTGTGATAACGCCAAAAAGAGCACAAGCAAAGTGGAGCTTGCCTCTGGCCACCATTCGAAGCATACTATTTTCATTGAGAAATGGGCTTACATGTCCTCTAGGCGGCACATCAAAACAAAACCTGACACAAGCATTTTGTACGCGCTGAATAAGACGTGCGGTTCGGGTCAACAAGCACGGCCCATATACAATGTCGGCATAATTAAATTTCGATAATATGAGTGTATCTGTCAATTTCTTACGCAATTCGATACTCAAGTACTCACGCATTTTATATAAAATCTTAAGACGGTAAAAACAGTTTCTGACAATACCTGCAATATAGTCTTCAAATCTTAAATCGGGGCTGACTAAAACTCCCAAATTACGTACCTTTTCCACCCTCTCCACAGGCGTTCTCTTAATACATACTTTGGGGTTGTAGTTGTTTATTTTTTCTATTTGTTTTTTAGTTCCCAAAATCATCTACTTAGTTTTTAACGGATTCAACACTAAAGAATTTTTTTCTGACCATGTAACTATTTTATCTAAGTCATCATTTAGTTATTGAATAGCGTTTGTACTATGAATAGGTTCGAAGGTGGTATAAATCTGTGTATCGTCTGCGTAAATGTGATATTTACAATGCTTTAAGCAATTGCCAATGTCCGAAGTATATAAAGAAAATAACACTGGTCCCAAAACTGATCCTTGTGGAACACCTCTGGTAATCTGTTGAGGAGATGACACACAGTTTTGACCATTTTCTTTAGAAATTAATATTTGTTGAGAGCGTCCTGTAAGGTAGCTATCAAACCATTTAATAGTATTCGGGTCAAACCCGTAAAAAGCCATTTTGGATAGAAGTAGTGTGATATCGATTGTGTCGAATGCTCTGGAATAATCTAATAGGACAAGGACTGTTCCTTGTCCTGTATCTTGAGCTTCCAATATGTTACCTATTACATCAGAGAGCGCAGTAGCTGTACTTCTTCCCTTCCTGAAGCCTGATTGAAACTCAGGTAAAATAGAATTTTCTTCAAGATATGTCGTTAATTGTTGACAAACTACTTTCTCTCGAGTATTTTAGATAAACAAGGTAATAAACTTATAGGTCTTAGATCTTTGACGCTTTCTGGGTTCATATTTTTAGGTAGAGGACGTATTAGAGCCCTCTTCCAGATATTGGGGAAAGTATTCGTAATAATTGAACAGTTAATTATGGATGTAATAGCATCTAAACTATGTGGAAGTGTCCTCAGAATCATTTTACTCGATATTCCATCTACTCCTAATGCATTAGATTTTAAATTTGTAATTATTTTCAAAATGGCGTCCTGACTAACTGGTCGAAGACAGAAATTGCTAGAGTTAAATCTATTGAACTCAAAATAAGTCAGATCAGACAAGTTTATGTTACAAGATCCCGGTATGTTTAAAAAGTGAGCATTTATTAGGTCTGGATCCATTAATTGTGGTGGCAATTCAGTACAATTTTTTGAGGGCAATGAGTATGCCTTTAGATTTGACCACATTTTTTTTTGGGTTATCAATATTGTTGTTATTAAAATTATTGTAGTAAGCCTTCCTTTCATAGTACAGAGCAATATTCACTTGGTGTTTCATTTGCTTATAGTAATCTCTATGATGTGGTAACTGTGAACATCGATATTTATTGCGAGCCTCATTCCGTAAACTCATCATAAATTTTACATTTTCAGTTATCCATGGATAAGGGCGATCCCTGAATATAACTGATTTATACGGAGCATACAGGTCAAACAAGCTTATAACATAAGAATTTAACATTTCTGTCATTTGATTTACGTTTTCCATTGAAATTATATTGGTCCATGGAATTAGCTGGACATCACGCTCAAAGTAATCAATCAATATATCATTCAGAGGACGATATACTACTCTTCGAGGTGGTATCTTGTCCTTTTTAATATATATCTCGCACGAAAGGAAGGCATGACTACTCAAATCACTTATATAGCTAACCATAACATTTCGCGTCGGTGCATCGGTACATATAATATATATAAGTGTTTGTCTGGTTTCTGTGAAATGAGTTGGAGTATCAATTATTTGTTTAATATCAATATAAGTCAATTCGAATAAACGTTTTGTCTTAGCATCATTTGTATTAAGTAGATTAATATTGAAATCTCCTAATAAAACAATATAATCATACGTAAAAGTACTAATACTGTCAGTAATTGCATCCAAAAATATGTCGATGTTAAGCCATGGAGGTCTGTAAGCCGTTCCAATAATAATTTTTTTTGTAACAATTTGTAAGCTCATCCACATTTCCTGTACAGAATTGTGGTACGGATTAGTTATTATACGTACATTTATCCCCCTTTTGACATAAAACCCTACGCCTCCTCCACGGCCAGCACGCACAGAGAGTGGACGTGGCACATGCTATAGCCGATACCCAGGCACGCGTGGGGCTCGCCCCTCTTCGCCCACACGGAGCCACGTCTCGTTTATTGCCATAAGATCAACTTCATGTCGGCTCATTGCGACGTAAAACTCCTCGTGTTTAGTACCGAGTGAACCCGCATTTAGGAAACCAACTTTCAAATAGTTCGATTTATTCATTGCTGTCTGATATATAGGTAATAAATAGTGTGTGCATAATATACAAATACGTGGTCCTAATGGAAACATATACTTTAAATTGTAAACATAATTTTATGAATAAGTAGTATATTTCAGAATGAATATATAAGGAATTAATATTATTGAGACTTATATATATGTATTTACTTTGTACAAAAAATATAATGTCAATAAGTACATAAATTCTATTCACCATGGTAAAATTATACAGATATTTTGTTAAATCGTATTTATTATTATAGAATATTAAGGTTAATTCTTTTAGGAATATAAAATAATTCACATATAAATTATAAAGATTAAAATAAACGTGTTTATAAAGTAATACATTACTACAATTGTGTTTGTGTGAGTGGAGTAAAAAACATAACGAACTCTGTGCTTGCTGTGATAGTAAAATTAACTTGCGATTACGCACGGTATGACCTTTGCAACACACACAAATTTCTACGAGACGATGAAAGTTACACTTAAAAATTACATACAAGACCGTGTATACTGAATCACATGAACAAAAATAGTCTGTATTAAAAATTAATAATAAACTCTTTGACAACCAATATATTAAATATTTATAATTACTTTTTTGTTTAGTAATATGTATAAACTTATTGTACGCTATTATTAACATTGAAACTGATTTACATAAGAGTAAAAATATTATTTTAAAAAACCTTAATACGCTATCTGTTAGAAAAAAACTAGAGCAATATAAGTATAAAATCGAAAGAGGTATATTCAAATTAACAGCTAACTTATAATTAACAAAAAACACGATTAAGGTCTGTTTCGGACCGAATTCGAGTTACATGCTTTCTATCTTCCTTTCTTACAAATATTTGCCCGCCCTTCGTCCAAGCATAGCGCCAGTTTGCTTTTTTCGCTGCCTCCCGAGTTTTACCGAATAGTTTTCTGTTCAAAGGTGTCAACCTCTCGTTCACATAAAATCGACGCGGCTCACCGGGTAACCCCAGGGACTCAGTGGTTAAGGTGCGCCGCACACGGGCCGAACGTATAAATTCATCTCGTAGCGCACGCCGGCTCATCCGCACCACAATTCTACGTGGTCCCACAGGAACTCCTTCTTGAGAGCTATTAATAGCTTTGCGTAAGTTACCGACGCGCTCGGCATGGACTATTTCACGCTGATCAACATCAAGACCTAACTTTTTAGCGCATAACAAAACAGTGTTAATTGCATCTTCACCCTTTTGTTCCGGTATTCCCGATATTTCGAAGTCATTGGCTAATAGGTCCTGATCCCTCTCGTTTAGTTGGATCCTTAATTCACCAATTGTCTCTTCGACTCGCACTTATGCACCTGTTCTTCCATTCGATTCTCCAACTTGGTGGTATCGATTTCCTCTAAATTTTTACTGCACGCGAGGATTGTGTCCCTTAATATGGAGACATTGTCTCTTACCTCCTTTAGCTCATTGCGCATCGCACCGAGTTCATTTCGAAACAGTCGTATTTCCAAGTCTACATCAATATCTTTGTGAATGGGACTACTGTCCCCGACACCCTGACACTTTACCGGTGTATTGGAGTTGTCTCCAGCACGAGGAACTTTACTTTTACAAGCTGGACACATCCACGCAGTTGATATTTTTGCCTTTTCCGATAGGTTAAGACAACCTCGATGATATGTGAGGTCACATTTGCCACAGGTGACGCCATCTGTCGCCGACAGGTAACGGCCGCAAGCTCCACACTTTGCCATTTTAATGTAATTATTAATAAAAACTAATCAATGCAACTAGTAGCCAATAGATGGCACAAATCGAATTTCCTTAATGTGTGAAAAGTTAAACCGTTACAAGTTTATCTTTTTAGTGTTTATAAGTAAATTAACGCTTAGACACGACGCGAAGTATACACTTTCACTTAAATGTTTTATTAAAATTGTAATCATGTACAATATAGGATTGAAAGTTCGGGCAAATTAATGTCTTTGTTTATCACAAAACTAATAAAAAAGGGTACTTTTACACCGATTGTTACCTTATTTACACTTTTATATGATTGTTTACTTCGATTTCACTGCACTAATATTCAGTCACTCTTATGATTGTTTTATTTATGCACATATAACACTTTTGTAACTTTATAAGATATATATATCTAATTAAATACGATTAATTTAGAGCACAGTACTACTCGCTGTCAAAAGTACCGTCAAACTCTTTTTCTTACTTTTTTATTTTTTCTTGCTCTTTCTCTACTTTTAAACATTGCCATTACTTTAAGATAATATTATCCTGTGTTGTAATGACGTTTTACAAACATAAATTTTACGCAGACAAACACCCAGATACGAAACAACTATCTTTGGGTCATACAAATAGTTGTCCCGTGAGAGAATCGAACCCATGACCCCTGACGCCGAAGCCAATACTTTGGCAACTGCGCCACGGAGTCATCAAGGCGGCGGTTATCACTTAACATCAGGTAAACTGCAACCCGCTGGTCATCTTGTTACATAAAAAAAAATATTAACAAAAACCCAATTCAAAAAGAATACGAGTTAGTTTGTATCATTTATCTGTTTTTTTTTTTATTCTAGTGGATGTTTTCTTCTTCTATTATGCATTATCTACACGTCGGAGATACAGTGTAGTTCCACCATTATTTTGTTTTCTCGTCTTCCACGTTAAAATAAGAAAATTCATGTTGCAATGAACCCGACGGTAAAACAAACATTCGACTAACAAAGATGAAGTTTGCTACTCAAAAATGTGGAAAACATTTCATATACTTCCACCTAGTTCGACGGCTGCAGGCTAAGTGAAACGATAATTCGCTCACAGCTCGACGACCTCAATCCGTCGACAGTCATCGTAAGCCCTGTCGAGCGCTAATAACGTTGGTTTTCCTTTTTAGTGTCTGCATTCATGCTCGTCTACATCACAACCTAGTATAAAACAAAGTCATCCTGCTGTCTGTCTGTCCCTATGTACGCTTAGATCTTTAAAACTACGCAACGGATCTTGATGCGGTTTTTTTTACTAGATAGAATATATTGCATTATTTATTATACATATATTTTTTATATTTTATTTTATTTTATTTTATTAGGAAAACTTACAGCAATTAAGTAGTACTTATTTTAAAACAATACTGTAACATATACAAAGAGCCAATTACAAGTTTCTACCTTTAGTACATAATTATGTTTTAAGAAAAGTCGAGCAAGTGTTGAAAGAAAAAAAAATAATAAAAAAAAAGAAAAAACTAACTACATAAATCAAATTTAATTCTTTGTAATTAATTAACTATTTTTAGGAAAAAATATTGCTCTGTTAAAGTTTCTCTAGCCACAGTTGGAGAAATAAAGAATGGGTCGATAAATTTAGCAGTTTCGTGCGTTAATAAATTTAGCAGTCCGAATCATAAAATAATTTCGTGCTTACCATCAAAGGCTGCACCGCCACTTAGCATCAGGTGGGATGGCAGTCAAGTGCGGGCAGTGCTAAATAAAATAAAAAAAAATGAAATTGCATCTGTGATTCGTATGAGCTCTGGATATGTAAAGAAGTTCATAACATAATAGAATAACATAACATAATATAATATTCATTACATAATATAATAAACATAATGGAATAAGGATTTAATTTGCCGACCTCGACATACCCTTTTTTTAAAATACCTACCAACGAATTTTCATGTCCCGCGCAAAAACAAAAGTCACTGTTCTGGGTCGAATTTAAACTAAATTCTTAAAAAAACTTCACCGCGATGCTTTGTAGGAGCAAAAGAATTCTTGCGACCGCGGAAAAGCCATAGTCTCAAATGAGAACAACGCGCAGACAAGACGAGATATTTCAACGTTTGCATTTCTACCGTTTGCATTTATCATGAACCACTACAATGTTGACAACGCAAATTCAAGTCCGCGGATGATCGGGTGAAGTCCTTGCTCATTTGAAACCTATACTTCAATTACTTCTCCACACTATATACTTCTACGTTTGCAGTACAGAAAGAGTGGAATAACTTCCTATTTGTTTAATAATAACAGTCTATCCGTAATATTCGGAAAGCAAGAATGAATAAATTATTATGCCTCTCCATTATCACCTAACTTCATCCATCTCTGTCATTTCGTAACATTAGGTGGGTAGCAACACGCTAGCCGGTTCGTAGAAGAGTGTCGACAATTCGCGTGTAAAATTATGTACCTATCTTAATTACCTATCTTAGCTTCAAACGCAGTGCATAATGCACTGCCCGTTATCAAGTTTATACAGAGCAAAACTATTTTACTCGACCCAATGAAATTCAGACTAACTAGCGTTTGTCAGAACTAAATATGAACTCCCTGACAATTTCAATGAATGAATTTGACAAATGTTGGCGCTGGCAACACTGTATACCGGATATGACGTTATCTACTCGAACCAAGGGACACATGGTCGCATCAAGCAGCGGTCACTTGGATTTCGGCCGCGTTCCCGGACGGTGATATAACCACTAGTGCTGCTCGTCGTTATAATAGTTGTTAATATTCAAGTTCAGTAATAGTTAAAATATTAGAATCAAGGTAAAAACGTTAGAACTCTTATAAATTTCACCTTTGTTTTGAACTTTATTAACATTGCGGAAGTGAGTGGCAGGCTTCGTCGATACCATAAGCATTCCCGTTAATCGATCCTGCACTCGAATTCATGTGCTTTGATATAAATTGGATATACCTACAGGAATGAGTAATATTTTTATTGAGTTAATGAGGTACCTTTCCTCATTGAAAAAAATACCTCATTAAATTGAAATTGTAAGTTATAATTTCAAGGATACAACGTTTACTTTAGTAAAGTAAATACTTCGCATATCGGATCCCTGCTACGGCCTATTTAGCTGCTTCTTGTTGACAAATGCACTTTTATCAATTGCACATTCACTTTTTGCCCAACAAATAAAATTATATCATCGTTTAGGCTTGGCTTATTGATAGTTTCTATAATGCAATGCAATTCTGGATATGAATATTTGGTTTAAATACGTATTTTATTTTTAAATTTCTCACTAACGTTTCGGTCGCATTATAGGGTATATCGTGTAATATTTTAGGGGTATTATATAATACTAGCGACCCGCCCCGGCCTCGCACGGGTGCATTGTATTATATATTATAAAAACCTTCCTCTTGAACACTCTATCTAGTAAAAAAAACTGCATCGAGATCCGTTGCGTAGTTTTAAAGATCTAAAGCATACATAGGAACAGACAGCGGGAAATTTGTTCTATATTATGTAGTGATATTATATTGTAACGTTTTAACGTCTGAATATTTTTAAGTTTACGCCTAAATTAATTTAAATTATATATGCTCATCTTCCAACGTGTTTAAAAACAGTGAATTATTAATTCTTAAATTCTCGATACACATAAGGGGAGCGGATAAAAATAAATACAAAATAAATCGAATAATTGACATTAAAAGGAACCATACTCTTAAAGGAACCATCATTCCATCTCGTTTCCCTGCCCGTTATATTCCTAATTGAACTCGGTGCGAATAACATGAAGCTTTGATCATATCGTGCGTGACGTTTTAATATAAAAGTTCTGTTGTTCAAATTCGTACACCGCAGGGTTTCGTTTACTCGTGTAAAGCAGTTATTTTTTGTTCTTACAGGCTGTCATATACATTCAAATCCAACTAGAAATAAGAAATTTAAGTTTATGGAACATTCCCCTTAAAATGCCCTTAAGGCACAAATTATTATTATATAAGACCTGCGTACGACCTATTATGTCCTACGTATGCATGACCTTCGCCCACACGCACCCTACTCGCTTGTACAAGTTGCAAATAGTACAAAATAAGTTCATTCGCCGCGCAACCGGAGCGCAGTGGTATTAACACAACGTCGACCTGCACAACGATTGTAGACTCCCGATGATTCGCGAATATTTTAAAGACCTGACCAAACGGTTCTTCGATAGAGCCGAACATCATCCCAACCCTCTGGTGGTAAGCGCAGCAAATTTCCAACCCGACACAGAAGCGAACGTCAACAAGCGTCGCCCACGAAACGTCCTCATCAACCCGGTCCAGGAAGGGGACTTAGATATTTAGATAGTTGTGCAACAACAAACACACTAGTTCGCTCATTTAGATAGTTGTGCAACAACAAACACACTAGTTCGCTCTCGCCTCCGAGCACGGCGATACCGACACAACGCGTACACAAGGTACACCCGCGTTCCGGAGCGGTTCTCACCGCCCCCAGCCACCGATTAGCTAAATGCACAGTCGACGGCCATCGGGTTTTCGGTCCGAACCGCGACCTCTATGGCCCTTATGATTTGTTTTACTATGGTTGATGATGCGTTTTACTATGGTGATGACACACCATAGTAAAACGCATGAGCACATTACATGTGTGGCCCTACCCACAGCGGAGGGCCCAAACCCGTGGGTTCTTGCTAGCCCACCGGTTCTGCGTCAGATGAAGCTTTAATAGTCTCGGGACTGAAATCAAAAACATCAGTTGACACAAGATACAAGACATCATTTATAAAGTTAAGAAAAGGCAGTTTTAACTGTATTATTGTAGAGTTCTCTTTACCTCTATTATATTTCTTAATTTAAGCCAACTGCTGCGTATTCTGCGACTGTTAAAGCATCAAGTTATACACTAAAAATAATTAACGGCCATTTAATGTTTCTTCCTCCGACACTGGGATATAATTTGTGTTTGTTGCACATTTTAT